TGATTAGAGATGCTGAGAATTTTTTCATATGTTTCTTAGCCATTAGTCTGCCTTCTTTTGAAAAGTTTCTGTTCAGTCCTTTGCCCACTTTTTAATGGGGTTGTTTGATTTTTCTTGCTCATTTTCCTGAGTTCTAGTTATCAGTTCTTTATCAGATATGTAGCATGCAAATATTTTCTCCCATTCTGTAGGTGATCTGTTTGCTCTTGTGATAGTTTCCTTGGCTGTGCAGAAGCTTTTGAATTTGATCATATCTCATTTATTTATTTTTGTTACTGCTGTGATTGCCTTTGGGGTCTTTTTCATAAATTCTTTCCCTAGGTTGGTGTCTATAAGAGTTTTCCCAACGTTTTCTTCTAGAATTCTTATAGTTTCATGCCTTAGGTTGAAGTTTGTTACCCACTGTGAGTTGATTTTTGTGAGAGGTGAGAGATGCAGATCCTGTTTCAGTCTAATACATGTGGCTATCCAGTTTTCCCAGCATCATTTATTGAATGAGGATTCTTTTCCCCAGTGTATGTTTTTGTGCTTTGTCAAAGATTAGACGACAATATGAGGATGGTTTTATATTTGGGTTCTCAGTCCTGCTCCATCAGTCTATGTCTCTGTTCTTGTGCCAGTCCATAGTGTTTTGGTTACTATAGCCTTGTAGTATAGCTTGAAGTCTGGTAAATTGATGCCTCCCAATTTGTTGTTTTTGCTTAAGGTTGCTTTTGCTATATGGGGTCTTGACTGGTTCCATACGAAGCACAGAATTACTTTTTTTAGATATGCCAGGAATGATGTTGGTATTTTAATAGGGATTACATTGAATCTGTAGATCACTTTGGGTAGTATAGACGTTTTAACAATGTTGATTCTGCCGATGCATGAGCATGGTATGGTTTTCCATCTGTTTTTGTCCTCTGCTATTTCCTTCCTCAGTGTTTCATAGTTCTCCCTGTAGAGGTCTTTAACCTCCTTAGTTAAATATATTCCTAGGTATTTTATTTTCTTTGTCGTTATTGTGAAGGGTATTGTGTCTTTGATTTGGTTCTCAGTTTGACTGTTACTGGTGTATATGAATGTCACTGATTTGGGTACATTGATTTCATAACCTGAGATTTGCTGAATTTTTTTATCAATTCCAGTAGTGCCATGGCAGAATCATTGGGGTTTTCTAGATATGAGATTATATTGTCAGCAAAGAGCAATAGTTTGACTTCTTGTGCCCCCATTTGGATGCCCTTGATTTCCTTCTCTTGTATGATTGCTCTAGCTAGGACTTCCAGCACTATGTTGAATAGAAGTGGTGATAAAGGTCAAATATATCTCTCTTGTTACTGTTATATTTTAATGCCTTGCATCATTCCTGGTCCATTTTCACTACTTAGTAAGCATTTATTCATGGAAGGAAGGAAGGAAGGAAGGGAGGAAGGGAGAGAGGGGGAAAGGAAAGAAAAGAAGTAATGCTCACACAATTTGTCTTGGGTGAATCAGGGGAAAAGAAAACAAATGGTCAAGGAATTTGTTTCATCAATAACACATGAGACTTTCAAAAGTATCTGCACATCCATTTCACATTTGTTTCTTATAAATATTCTGTAGAAATTATTATCATGCACTTTTTATAGTGAAGAAACTGAGGTTCATAAAACGGATAGCATGTCTCATCATGTTGTTTCTTCCACTTCGTATCCCATTTTCTTAATTTTGTTCATGTCCCATTCTTTGAGATCTAGGTGAAATACTACCTGCTCCATAGAGTGTCCTTTTCCCCCCACATTCCTAATTGTATAATTTTCTTCCTCTTCTCTAATCCCACTGCATGCTTTACATACCTTCTTAGTTCTTAGCACAATGTCCCTTACATTAAACCTATTTTTGTTTGTGTTTCATTTCAACCTCTAAATAATAAAATTTTAAAGATAGAATCCAGGTCAGATTTATATTTATCACTCCAAAATCTAGCATAGAGTAGATACTCAATAAAAATGTGTTAAATGGAAGTCACCTCTTAGATTTAGTCCAATATTCTCAATCTGGTGTAATGGAAAAGCTAATCAAAGAGGTTATTTCATATCTACCAAAGGCCACACAACAGGATGCTACTCCTTACATCTTTGTGTTCCTTCCTCCCATCATCCGCATTCATGGAATATAGGAGGAACAGTGAACTTGGAGTCATGAGGTTTCCGGCTGGGTGCCACCACTTAATTGTGTAAGTATTCCTAGCCTTAGTTCTGCATAGTTGAGGATATAGTTCTCAGATGTCTTGAAATGCCAGTTCTCAGCAGTGCCTACCACATAGCAAACTCAGCCTTGGAAATTGTTAAGAAATATTGAGTCATGAGTGTGAGGAACCTGATGCTATAGAACCCTAACCACAATCCTTAAGAGGTATAATATATAAACAAAATGATATCTTATGCCCAAGTGAGTTGATAAACTACAAGAACTTTAGGCTCTTTCAGACCATTAGAAAAGCCCAATGACTGGATAATGGCTACTATTGAGAGCCTGCCAACACTGGATAAGAGCACTAACTTAATCTAAGGCATTATAATCCCAATTCAAGGACTCATTCATGTTTCAACATCTTGTCAAGAGCTCTGACAGACAAAAACCAACTGATAGTCCCTGAGGAAAAAAATAAAGCAAAATGAAATAATTAAGGTTTAAGGATTTTCAAAAGCACACACACAAAAAGAAAAGCTTTCAGAACTGAACACTTGGGAAAGGGGATGGTGATTATTGTTTCTGTATGAAGATACCAATACAGAAAGTGGAAAAAGATATACAATGTCATTTTGAAGGCCCTCACGAGTGGGTCAACAGTGATGTACTTTTACTTGCAAGGTCCGAAGTACTCACCTACACATATGGCTATTCACAGAGGAATGAGTTCTATTATTATCTGCTTGAGCTGGATTGAGAAATTCAAAGCAAAAGCCAACCCTTGCCCAGACCCCGTTGTCAAAAGGAGATTCAGAGAAGGAGCAGCAGTTTAGTTGATATGGTATAGAAAAGCAAAAAAAAAAAAATGTATCCAGGGAGATATTTTTTCCTTTTAATAAACAGTTTTCATTAGCATCATCAAATGCCTACACTTTTATAAACCTGAGCTTCTCAGTTAAGCATATATAGAAAATTGCCAAGTATCATTTGTAGATAAAACAATTCAATATTTATATATTGCTAGTTTTCTATAAATACAGACATTTGGAGACTATTTTCTCACTAGTCATTAAAGTTTGAACAGAGATCAAAGATAGAATAATATTAACAATTCCTTGCATTTGTATAGTGCTTTATATAATACTATTAATAATAGATGCCATTTATTGAGCACTTAGCAAGTGCCAGGCACTTTACATGTAAATTCTCATAACAAATTCAGTTCAATTCAACAAACATTTACTTAACATCTACTATGTGATAGATGAATAATATTTTGGGTTTTGTCTTTAAAAATTATCATTTTGTTGCATTTAATCGATGTTTATTGAATGAATAAATGAATGAATGGATAAATGAATGAATCAGCTGGAATAGCAGTGTGGGGAAATATAAATAACACAGGCTCCTCCCTCCCCTTACTATTTATGGTCTTGATAAAGTACTTAACTTTTCCTATCCTCAATTTTGTCATCTGTAACACAGGGATATTTAAAACCTCCTTTACAGAAATGTGGAAGTAGTAACATCTAAAGTAAAGCATCTGACACAGAAGGGCTCTCAATAAGTGGGGTGTTGGACTTTGTCAAATGCTTTTTCTGCATCTATCGAAAGAATCATATGATCTTTGTTCTTGCTTTTATTTATGTGGCGAATTGCATTTATAGATTTGCGTATGTTAAACCAGCCTTGCATCCCTGGAATAAAGCCCACCTGGTCATGGTGAATTATTTTTTTTGATATGCTGCTGAATTCTATT